GAATTTGATTGGCTCAAGCCGGCTAAGCCGTTTAAAAATTTCTTAGCCGGCTGAGCCGTGTAAGCCGGCTAAGCCGGTTAAGCCGATAAATTTCTTAGCCGGCTAACATCACTAAATTAGTGTAATGAAAATAATAGGAAATAAATCCTTGTTGACAATAATCAATAAAATAAAAATATGTCGTAATTGTTCCGGATAATAAAAAAATAAATTGTCTAAATTGTAATTAGAAGCTACCAACCCTCGATTCATAAATTTAAACCAAATTTCTCAACAACCTTTTGAGAGTGCATCGTCAAATAAAGATATGATTTTCAGACATCACTCAATAAAAAAATCTGAACACGATGCTCAAAAATCTAAACTTGTCATAACACAAAGATTATACTAGACAAAAGAGTAGAAGTTCCAGGCATTTACATTCCAGATCCAATACCTGTAAATCCAAATTCATTAAAAAATGTTGAAATTGCATTAAAACATATAGAAAGCATTACAGGAATCAAACATGGATGGGTACCTATTGTTTGTGATGGTGTACCTTATAATCTTGCATTGAATTGAAAATGATTTTCCTTGGCTAATTTTACTTCCTGGAGCTCTACACAAAAAAATGAATATGTTTAAAGCATTTGTAGAATTAAATCGGTAAAAAAATTTTAAATTTTATTATTTGAAAAAAAAAAGAAAATAAACTAATTGCCTATATTTTATATAAAGGGAAATATATATTAAATCATTTGCCAAATCTCAAGATTACAACAAATGAGAAAAACAATTACATTTTTTCAGAAGTGCATTGATTTTCATAAATCTTGGTATCCTTTATGTAACATTTATCATCATTCAATGGCTTCCAAGTTGATCTGGCCTTATGTTAAAAATGAAGAAAATCCAACTGTTGATGGTTATCTTGAATGGTCCAGTACTCAAACAAATCAAATCTATAAACTTAAATTTGAGCAAGTTAAGTTTTAATTATATTTTTCAATGAATTAATCTAATAAAAAAATTAGTAAATAATGCTGATTATATTTATTTACACTAGACTTTTATTTACCTGCAAGCAATTATAAACTTTTGCATTGGTGTAAGAACAAACAATCCCTTGCTACAAAATGCAGCTAGATGTCAATTTGTACCAGTATGGTCTGCTTGTAGACATCCAATCTATAAATTATTGGAAGTATCACATGAAGCACTTTTGTCACGTTTAAAGCCTTCAGTTAGAAAAAACATTGAAAAGGCATCAGTAGTTTCTAGGTCTGGACTTTGGAATCAACATCAAGGCCTTGATGCAATATTAGAAGAATTCAATAAATCATTAAAATCTATGATTCCTCCAATACCTTCTCAACATCATTGGGAAATTGCAGCAAGAAATTGCAAAAATTTCATGAAGGTAAGTAAAGTTCACTTTCTCTATAATAGATCTTTCTATAATGAATCTTGCTCTATAATGGACTGAGAATTTAAGCCCAATTTATATGTTCCATATTAACATATAATCTATGATTCCAAATGGTCCATTATAGAGTAAACTGTAATTTAAACCAAATTAATTCTAATAGTTTAAAAATTTAGCTACATTCCAATCTTTTTAATATGATTAGATTTAAGGAAAGAGAAAATTTGGAACCATAAAAAATACCTGATTTTAGTGCTGAATCACAACGTTTTAGAGTAGAACTGAGAAAGAACCAGTTTTTCATAAGAAGCCATTTTAGGAATTTGAAAGATGATGTTATTTTGAGTGAAAGAATGAAAAATTTTAGTCATCTTGCAAAAGAAAAAAGGAATATATTGTTGAAAGAAATCTTATTGCAAGGAGCTTCTACTAATACCTGGCATTCTATTCCAATAACAGAACAAGAAGAAACAGCACAGCAAGATGAAAAAAATATGAATAAAAAAGAGTTATTATCAATTATTAATTCTATACTTCTTTCCCTTCCTGAAACATTATGACCAAAATATAGTAGTTCGAATAATAAAACAAAGGGAAACTTATTAATAATTTTGCAAGAATTAAGAAATATATATGATACTGTTGAGACAGTTGAAGAATTTTCAGATTAATTATATATGGGCATGCTGCAACAAAATCAGACAAAGTGAACATTGGTATAACCAAGAATTTCAGGGATCAAAATTTAGTCATTTGTAATGTGATCATAATTAACAGTTTTTTAAATTGTAACATCTCTCCATGACAGAGAGAATCACAAGGAATTCTACCACCTCAGTAGGAAAAGTCATTTCAACTAGAGACAAGAGCTGGTATAAGCCATCATAATTTAAAGTGATTCTCCAAAACTCAATTCTGTTTCCTATTACATAAATATATATTTGGCATATTGCTCATCAATTATAGGATTAGCTTTGATCACATACCATTAATGAGTACACCATACGTTTCATCATGAATTCCTAGACAGTTTGACAAGTGCCTGATTCGTGATGGACTTGTGATTTTCCACCCTTGGTGGCTTAATTTCGCCAAATAAAATTTCACTCCCATTTGCATCTTTGCAAATCAGGGTTGGCGAATGTGTGGTCCATTGATGGTCCATTGATGGTCTATTGGGTTTATTAGTGTAACATTTTAACTATATTTAGTATTTTATTAATTGCAATGGACCAGCTCAAAATCCATCAGTTCTCAATGGACCAGTCAATTTGCCAACCCTGTTGCAAATTAAGCAAAAGTCTGGCTTTAAGCTGTGGTTGCCATCTTCTGAGCATTGGATTTTAGATGAGATACTCTCTCCATTTGCCTTACATAAAAATATTGACAAGTTAATTTCATAAATATCTTTGTAAAAAAAACTTATTGTAAGGTAATATTATAGAACATACCATACAATTTGCATGGTTTCAACATGGAAGATTTCCTCCAAGATTGCATGACAAGTTCTGTGAACATAGGTGTCTTTGTTTGATAAATTCTTATTCTTACCATATGGTAAATTGTAAAAGCTACACATAACATTATATCCAATTATCATAAATACAGATCAATTATCTATTGTTATAAAATATTTTTGTCTACTTACAAATTATGTGTTATAATCTGCATTGAATCAAATATCCTCTTATCATTTTGATCTTCCAATAAGGACACTTTACTCCAGTTCAACCTCCACAATTCTTCAAATCCAACCAAATCACCCATCATTAAAGGCTTACAATAAAGCACGTAATCAGCATGTTAAACCAATATAGCATATAAAACAAGATGTGTATGTATATATTTACCTGCGTATATGAACATACAATGACTTGGATAAGGGCTGGTATCTTGAATTTATAGGTAATGTGTGGAAATGCCATTCGCCATTCATTGTCAGTACATAAAACATAAGTTGGTTTTTTGTTCTTTCTTAATACCATTATGCTTGATAAGGCACTATTATAAGTAAAATGATATGTGAACATCCAATTAAAAAATACAACAATTTCATTGGATTAAGTATTAAAGGCTTACATTATGGACTCAATATTGGTTACATAACTTAAAACTGGATCAATTTTTAGCTTTTCAATAATTGACCTCTGAAATTGCCAAAAATCATCTGAAAAATTGTGTCCATCATTATTAATCCACTATTCAAATGCAGATACAGAAAGGTAATTAGCGAAAATATAATAAACAAGTTTATCAGTTCCAGAAAACATTTGTGAACATACATCCTTTAAAGAATTTTCCTTTATTTCCATTTTTTGTAATACATAGTCTCATGTAAATATTTGTTTAGAGCTCACTACTACACCAAATGAGGAAACTGTGAAGTCATTATTATGTCCCCTTGCAGAAGTATCTATTTCTTCACAATTTTCTTGGATCTAATGAATATTATAAATGGTATGCACAAATTATTTAAAAATGATTATGAAACTAAACAAATGGTGTTGTTCTTACCATTGGTTCAATCTCGCCATTATCAGAAGTCCTAGTCCTATCATTGTCAAACTCATTTTCATCATTATCATTACCACCTCTTTTACATTTTTGAATAATCTTATTTGTTATATCATCCAATGCTTTTGACTTATATGCTTGTTCTCACACGATATAAAAGTTAGTTGTTATGTTAACATTATGCCAAGATACTGATTATCTGTATAAAGAATAGAAGGACCTGTTTTTCCTGAATATCAATTTCGTTCTCTTTCATTAATTGCTGTCATTCAATGTGCTCAATAATCTTCTCGGCAAGTTCATTGAAAAAGTTTTTTTCATCTATAACATTATTGATTAGCTAGCTATATTAGATTTTGAAAGGTAAGCTTTATTAGCAAAAGTTTACCTTCATAGTCATTCTTAGCTTTTTTGCATATTCCATAACATATTTGGGGTAACTGTCATTCTCGTTTTTTTCGATGAAAGTCAGTGATCTACAAAAGGACCTAAATAAATCTGGTGCTGTCATAAGTGGGTTGGACTCTAACTTGGAATTCATATATACATTGAGAAGGTGCCATTCGGAAATTGGATTTGTAGATAAATAAGTATCGATTTCTGCATGTGCAGGGATTTTATAATACATGACCAAGCTTAGAATGAATGATTTAGTGTATGAAATTCAGTTGGGGGATCTAGGAGATAGTGAAAAATCAATCAAAATATATAGATACCAATAGGTAACACACAAAAGCTTAATATATTAATATTAATAACAAAAAAATGTGTGGCACAATCAATCAACTGCTTGTAGAAATTTTCATTTTTATACTTTGTGTTAATGTTTGACTGAAATAATATGTATATAATACACGTTTTCAATATTTGTTTACAATTTAGAAATCATCCATCCAACAAAAAACAATTTTTATAGAGATAATAAAAGAAATGTGAATGTAAAATTCTTTCACTGCCTTTCTACGAGGGCCTTGCAGAAATGCTTGCCTTTACACCATCCCTATGCTTTGGACCTAGGAAAATACTTCCAAACTTTATGACTCATGATTCCACTCTTGGGAGGTGTATTGATAGAAAGAGATGAGGGCCTTGCAGAAATGATTGCCTTTACACCATCCCTATGCTTTGGACCTAGGAAACTACCTCCAAAGTTTATGACTCATGATTCCACTCTCAGGAAGTGTATCATCTCATTGTGCAGTGATAAACCAATCATAAAAAAGAGCTAGCTAAGTTATAATCTTCATTTGAACTTTTAAGATAATGATCATTTAACATATGTTTATTTTTACTTATTTATTGATTTTTTTTAGAGAATTTTTTTTCATATTTCCAAAAAAAGATTAAAAAAAGAACACGATTAATTGAAGAACCTTTTTAACATTAGGCGAACATGTTATTTGGTATGTTATTTACACATCCATTGGATAAGTTTGCCAGGGTAATGGTCATTTAGCATATATTTATTTTTACCTATTTACTTATTGATTTTTTTAGAGAATTTTCCAAAGAAAAAAAAGAATTCAATTGAAGAACTTTTTTAACATTAGGCGAACATGTTATTTGGTATATTATTTCACACATCCATTGGTTAAATTTTCCAGGGTAATGGTCTTTTAGCATATATTTATTTTTGGTATGTTATTTCACACATCCATTGGTTAAGTTTTCAAGGGTGATGGTCATTTCATATGTTGATGTATGACTGTTCTAAAAACTGTAAATTGGCACTTTATGAACAAGTCATAGAGAATCCTGATTGAGGTGCGAGTGAATGAGAGTGTATGGACATGGATGGGTATTGGTATGGACATGAAGAATCATATGATTATGTTTATATGACTCATGAAGTAAGTCAATTGTAAAAAATTTATTTGGCCAGTTATCAGCACAGCATTGAGGAGATAATGGATACACCATAGGCGGCATAGTTAGTTTGGATAGTAAATTGATTGGTTTTGGTATTTTATCAGTTGGTGGTGTTGATGGTGGTATTTCAATCCAAAAATTAAAAGTACATGGATGATTGTTAAAATTTTTTAAAATAATTTATTTGATATTTTTATTTTATATCCATTACTAAAATCATTGTTTTTAAGCTGCTTCTCTAAGTCACTAATCACAACTTCAGTCATTTCTTTATCATTACTTTCAATAAATTCCTCAGAACTTTCATTTTCACTATTAACATCTGCTTCACTTTTTTCAAAAAATGCAGTTATTAATTGACCATTTTTTCCAGCATTTTTCTTAGCCTCACTTTGTTTCTGGCAATAAGTTCTGGAAGAGTTACCTATATAGCACAAAGGTCTTGATGATGAAGTGTAATTTTTTGTGGTTTCATTGAGGATATCAATATATTTTACAGAATTTCCATCTAATTCTCTATCTATTCCTTCTTCAAACCAACTTTCCTCAGCATAGCGGACATTTGCATATTTGGTAATGATTTGCGTCAATCACATTTTGATTTTATCACATAAAAAAGCATTTTGATTGGTTTGAATATCATTACTAAATTAACAATTACACAAAATCATTAATTGCGCACAATCATTTTTTGACATTAATTAATAATAAAAAAAGTTGTTTTTAGCCGTTAAAATATTTTATACATAAAAAAATGTGATGTGATAGATACAGAGATAAAGACACATTATAAAAAAAATAATAAGGGAATTAGAATTGTGCAAAAATATGGGTTTACAATTTTTTTTTGCAAAAATCCCTTTCATAGCGAATAGATTGTGTGAATTTAACATCTCTATTTTTTGTAAATAAATAAAATTCAATGTCATTATAATAGTAACAGTAGTGTAATTTTATGGAAATGATATTTCGATTCTTATTATTCAAATATCCATAATACTTTCGAATATAAATATCAAATATCGTAACACTTTCAAATATCGTAACACTTTTCAAATATCATAATAATAATAATAATAATAATAATAATATATAATACTTTTGAATATCGTAACACTTTCGAATATCATAACACTTTTGAATATTGTAACACTTTTGAATATTGTAACACTTCCGAATATTAATATCGTAACACTTCCGAATATTAATATTGTAACACTTCCGAATATTAATATTGTAACACTTTCAAATATCGTAACACTTTCAAATTAATATTAACACTTTCAGATATTATAATATTGTAATTATAATATTAATATATATACTTTATTTTTTTATTAATGTAACAACATTTCATGTAATTAAATGTATAAATTTGTTTTCATAAATCATTACATATTATAACGTAAATTATTACACAGAGATTTGATATTTGAAAGTGTTACGATATTCAATAGTGTTACAATATTCAATAGTGTTACAATATTGAATATATAAAAAAAAATTATTTGACACCAATTTCAAAGTAGGGTATCAATGATGGAATTGCTTATAATTAAACAAAATGTATAAAAGAACTCTGAATTACATGTAAAAATAAATTAGTTTTAACAAATAAAACTATTATAATAGTCCTTATAAACCCAAAATTGTGATAATTCCAATTTCTAAATTTTTAAATCAACTGATTTTGATAATTACCTATTTCTCTTGTGCAAAATAAAAATAATTATTTTAAAAAAAATGGAAATTCCAAAAAGTAGGAAACAAAACAATGGACCATGTGTTATTTGTGGAGTAAGAGATCCTGAGATAAAATACCAAAAATTTACAGAAGATGCTAAAGAAAAAGCTTCAAGGAACAATAATTTAGATTTAACCTGGGAGTTAAATATTACTCAGTTTTGTCAAGTACATTATATGAGCCATATCATGAATGAGTACAAAAAAAATGATGGTGATATAGAGGATGTAGACATGATCACTGATGATATAGAAGATGTAGATGTGATTAGTGAACATACATTTAAGGATAAATTGAATGATGGTGAAAAAATCTATGAAATTGATTTCATTAATAGTGTTAAATCAATGGTAAAAATATTTCTTAAGAGAGAAAAAAAAGAAGATAAACCACCAATCTATGATTGGACATTGCTTCGTGAAAGCTTGGAATCTGAAGATGATAAACTCATACCTTTTTTAAATATGCTTGAGAAGTTAATTAATCCAAATGATAGGAATCTTGCAGAACAAACAATCACACAGCGGCAGAAAGGCCTGTCTTTTTTATGTTATTTTCTTGCAGGAATTGGAAATAAACAAATTAGTGCCATAAGAAAGGATATAGCAATGTTTTTAGATCAGTCTGGTACTACAAACCAAGCCATTGACACCTTTTCTAGTATTCAATTAAGTTCATCATCAAGAGAAAATAGACGTGAAAAGAATGCTATAGCCTTGATTCATAAAGAAAATGTTGCTAAAGAGCTCTCAAATTATCAGGACAATGCAATTAATGTAAATGTTGATGATTACCACAATATTCATGGATTACGAATGCCTACAACCACATCTACTAGTGATGTTTATCATATGACAACCATCCTTGCTATTCCAATACCTGAAGCAAGAGCTGTTCCAAATGATGCTATACATAACCCATTACTCATTGATTGTGACTCTTTAATTTTCCAAATAGAAAATCGTTACATGTCTTTACTTTCCCAATCATATAACAATAGGTTTGCAAATCAACTTACTCTTTCTGAAGATGACTTATTTGATAGTCTTGTTTCTTATTGTTATGATGCTGAGATTCATGAAAAAAAGGAGGAGCGGCAGCTTAAAAACACTTTACTAATAGATTTTATCCATCTAGAATTGAAATCTGCTCAATCATATATTGAAGCCATGAAGGTATTTGAACCTTTTCAAGAATTTCATAATTATCTCCAAAAAAATGTTATTCCATTAATTGCTGACTGGCCAGGCCAAATCCATACTCGAAGAGCAATTGTCATGCAACAGCATCCATCACAAAAGGATATCATCCCAGAATTTGTTAGGTCTTTCATTCCAATAATGGGACCATTACATGTATCACTCAACAGTCGTGAGACTGTTGTTTTGCTATTTCATGGCTTTTTTAATTCTGCTTATAAATATATTTTTGGATCACGCAAAAAGCTTGCTGAAAACCCTCGCCCTTGGAGAATTAATCAATTGTTGCAGATAATGTCAGATGCCTGGAGAAAGGTTGCACCATATGTTATTGAGAAAATTGAACCAATTTGTTTAAGAGATGTTGAATATCTTACACTGAAAGCCCTTTTAGATGATGCAATTCCTCTAGTTTTGGATATTTATTCAGCAATTTTCAGGTCAGGAAATTTGGATAACTATATTGAAGCTTGCGTGAGAGTATGGTGTTTATTTGCTAAGTTTAAAAGAAAAAATTATAACAAAGCACCATTATTATTTCTTTCTGATGTATGGTATTGGGAAAGCATCAAACATCCTATTATTGATACTCTTAAAATGCATCTTGTGACTTTTAATGATTATCCAGTTGAAAATTATCATTCATTAATTCGAAGACAAACTAAAAAAGCAGATAATAATGAACAACTTACAAAAGCAGCTCATATTATTGACCATCTTCGCCATTATAATATATTTCGAAGTTCATTTGTTGCCAAAAAAAAGTATCCTTATTGCAAAAAAGATTTAATAGGATTAACAGACAAGGCATCTTGT